ACCTCAAGAACTTAGATGAGTGCTATTCTCTCAAACTCGAATATTGAGAAAATATCTCTTGCGTCATCCCTTATCTTACACTTACCAGAATACATGGGGAGTACGCAATACCTCCGCCGATGGCATAAAGAATGCCTTGGGTAGCGATGAGATGCGGGACTGTCGTCGAAAACGAGCTCATCGCAAGCGAGAGACACATAGTGAGCAAGCCAAGTATAGACATCCACCGGGCCCATCTATTAAAGAGGCGACAAAGCCCCATCATAATCGGCGCCGTAAGATACATGATTCCCATTGCGCAAGTACCAACAATTGTAATATTTGGTGAGCCTGCGAAAGGTTCATGAGTGCTGTAGTAGTCCTGGAACACCCCAAAGGCAAACGGGAAACCTGTCGAAGCGGTTAACAAAAGGTTGCTATTAGTTTAACAAGGAGATACTGAAGCCTACCCCAGACTAGTGCTTCAATCGCCCAGCAAGCTGCCAGGAAGAGCCATGCGTCTTTGCCGCCATCGACAGGTGGCAAAGAGAATTCTTGTCTCTCTTCCTCGGGTTGTAATTCGTCCTGCTGATTTGGATATTCGACTGCAGTCGTCGAAACTCCAACCCTGGAAGTCGGATGGGCAAAGGCCTCTAGCTCTATATCCCGACTCACCATATAGTTACGAGCAACTTCTCATATGAATGATCCCGTGATGAAAATGGTAGTTCAACTACAATAGAGAAGCCAGAGATAATGCGAGTCCTGCCATTTATGAGGTCTCACGTCTCCGGTAAAGGAGATAGGGAGTGGAGAGCTTTATAAGTATATCGATTTTTGGCACTACTATTCACTTATACCCATATTTAACCTATAGATGCGCGCGCCCTCCGCATGTTGAACGACTATACCGCACCTAGTCGATACAACGCAACCCACATGCCCGCTATCATTGTATCCACACATTTCCGAGATATCGGGAGCCGTTATACTATAGAAAACAACTATTAACTCTAAGCTAGTGCTCTTGGAATTAAGGTTGCCGGTAGATGGTTAACTAGTGATTAATGGTGGGGGGACCGTTTCGATAACTATGTCATTGATTGGAAATAGCACACAACCCTCCTCTTCCTGCTTCCAGTAAAATTAATCCTCGTAGCTAATTGTGATACGAGACCTTGCTGTGTTACCTAGCTAAGCAAGCCTTTTGCTCATAAGAATTTTAGCACTAACTAATGGTATCATTTGACCTAAACCTTGACATACTCGACTCTCATCAGGGTAAACCAAGATTCTCCACAGCAAAATGCTCAAGAGCTTGTCAGATTCGCCTTGATCTTCGTCAGATCATCGCCCGAGAACCCCAGCTTATCCGTGACGAATTGTTCGAAGCCGCCGTGCTCTTTCTGCACGCCGTCGACGAACGCAGTCCAGCTCGAGGCCCGCAAGTTGATTAGGTTGTAGAAGCCCGGCTGGTCGTGGCTCGTCGCGTTCGTGCCGGCCACCGCGTAGTTTAGGAGCATCAGCCGCACGGGCTCCGTTCCTATCCGCGATAGCAAGTAGTCCAGGACTACGGTTTCTTGCGACGCGCCGGCAAGCGTCAGAAGCAGACCTGCTAGGACGCCGGTCCGGTCACGCCCGGCTGGTAGGTATATGCGTCAGCGAAAGACCCCGCCTAAACCCACATTGCTGGAGTTCCACCGCCAACACCGATTTATGGGGGTGTGTTAAACGTACCGGTGCAGTGCACCAAGAACGGATCGGCCGGCCGATCCCTCACGTGCTCCAGGATCGCCTTCCAGCTCTCCCGGTACACGTCCACGACCTCGAGGTACATCTCGCGGTACCCGTCCTCGCCGGCGCCCGGCGCAAAGCGGTCCAGATCGGGCGTGGTATCGGGCCGCTCGCTCTCGATCCAAGTGTGCTCGACTCCATCCAATACCGGGTCCGGCATGCTGGCACGCTCCTCCGGCGACCTCAGGTCGAACACGCGCTTTACGCCAAGCTTGCCCGCGAGCACGGCCTTGCCGTTGTCGGTCAGCTGCGCGAGCGCGCCCGACCGGAAGGCGAAGCCGGCGCGCAGCGGGCTGCCGGGCACCAGCCCGATGTCCCGCGTGTTGAAGGTGCCGTCGACGAACACGAAGGGCGGCTGCGTGAGCACCGGCACGTACTGCTCCTTCGTGATCTCCTGCGACACGTCGGTTGAGGCGAGCTGGAGCAGGGCGGCGGCCATGGTTGCGGCTTCGTTGATGGGGGTTTGGGGTTGGGTTGGGTCCAATTGGTTTTCTTCCGTTTGTTCTGCAGAAGATCAAGTTATTGATCTTAAGGAGGTAAGGTTGGCATCAAATGTAGGTATTCCGAGAAGGGGAAAGGAAGCCCCTGAATTACAGCGACAGGACCTTCCGAGGTTCCTTCCATCCTAGCTATAGCTTACAGGGGGGGTTTCCCAATTCTGCAGTGACGTTACTTGGAAACCCCGCCCGCCTTGGTCGTTCCTGGTTGCCTGGAGCCGGCTAAGCTAATCCCCCGTTAAGTCGATACAACATCTTTGCCCTACCCGATACGCGATTATCCGAGTTCACTCTCAATGGGGGTGGTCTTATCACACAACGCCTCAGCAACGAGAGGAGTATCAATTCTGAATTTTTATATTATTTCATCAAAATGGGCTGGTTTTCTTAGCTATTTCGTACGAATATGACTTTTTATTAATTTTGTTTGTGAGTAAATTCACAATTTGTTCATCCTTTCAAACCACGCACCTGCTAACTGCGCCAAATTTACCAGTCCCGTCTCTCGATGCGCTATATCCTTTACGCTGAGATAGCATAATATCTAGTCCCGGTGACGCCAATTAGCTAATCATGGACTGGTTTCGTCTTCCACGTCTTGGTCGCGATACGGCCTGGTTCTACTCATCGGCTGCGATCGTCCTTTTGGCCGGAGGCATCAAGCTACGCCAAGGCATAACGGATTACACCCAGACGGAGACTTACTGCTACCAATCGGTGCGCACAAACTCAGCAGTAGAACCATATGTGAATTGCTTCTCGGTATTGCCGACTGGAAAGTTCTCCAAGGTCTTTCAAGCCGGGGAGGATACGGAATTTGCTAAGAATGCGAACCCGGGTTTCGCTATGCCCGGCCTATGGGATGGACATGGACACCTGCAACAGTACGGGGAATTCTTGAACTCGGTGGACCTTTTCGGTTCTACTTCCATGGATGATGCTCGATCTCGTGTGCGGAGCTACGTTGATAAGAATCCTCATGCCGGATCGAAGGAGGAGTGGCTGAGAGGCATTGGATGGGATCAAATGGCTCTTGGGAAGATGCCGACTGCTGTAAGTTAGTCTGACAACCCTTAGATCGTGTTGATCAATATTGGAGTACTAACTTTGTCGAAGGGTGACTTCGTAACGGACAAGAAGCTAAGCGACCTTTACATTATGCTTGATAGGATGGATGTACACTGTATCTGGGTCTCCCAAGCAGTCTTGGACTTGCTTCCAGAGTCCATACCTGATGTTCCAGGCGGTGAGATTGTCAGAGATCCCGGAATGGGCGTCTTTTGCGACAATGCGATGGACATGGTAATGGCACTGTGGCCTAAGCCGAACGAAAAGAAGAAACGTCAATTTGTCAAGAGTGCTATGGGGAAGCTTAATGAAGTAGGCCTTGTGGGCATTCATGATGCCGGAGTTACGCCAGGCAACCTGAACCTTTATAAAAAGCTAGCAGGTGGCGATGACTGGACGGTGCGAGTATATGCCATGGTCGAATGCAACGAACGCAACACATTCTGCCCCAACGAAGTTGATCCATATACAAGCCCAGATGGCTTCTTGAGCATTCGGAGCGTAAAGCTCTTTGCCGGTAAGCTACGCAGGACTCATATTCCATGCTTTGGACGAATCTGACATGAAATAGATGGTGCCCTTGGAAGTTGGGGTAGCGCCTTAATTGACCCCTATACTGATCGTCCAGATACGTCCGGATCTCTACTCGTCAACGCCTCCGAGTTGGTGTATGACACGATCGCATGGGCCAAGGAAGGCTACCAAGTCAATATACATGCAATTGGTGACCTAGCCAACAGGAACGCCGTCGACGCCATTGTTGCTGCTCTTAGACTTCTCTGTCCCGACGACCCTCTCTCAGTCTGCCAATCTTATCATCGTTTCCGCATCGAACATTCTCAGATAATTCACCCGGATGATCAGGCTCGAATCCATGCCGTTGGAATCATCCCTTCTATCCAACCTACCCACGCTACAAGCGACATGGCATACGCCGAGACGAGATTGGGCAAGGAACGCACCGCAAAGGAGGCATACCGAATGCGCTCCTTTCTCGACGTCAACCCCGTCCTGGGAAGCGATTTCCCAGTCGAGCCACCGAACCCATTTCAAGGTATCTACGCAGCCGTCACGAGACGCAGTCCGCACACCGGCCGAGGCACGGATGATTCGCCAGACGGGTGGTACACGGATGAAGCTCTTGACTTGGACCAGGCAATCCGGGGTTTCACCGAGGGGTCTTCGTATGGCGGCTTTACGCGGGGGAAGACAGGAGTCATCAAGCCAGGGGCTTATGCAGATTGGATAGTCCTAGACAAGCCCTTGGAGGAGATAGATATTGAGGATCTACGTTCTCTGAAGGTTAAGGAGACGTGGGTTGGGGGCAAGAAGGTGTACTCCAGGGAGTGATAAAGTGGTTAGTAGGGCTGATCACCAGATATAGAAATAATAGAGCTACAAAAAGCTGGTTAAGTTGGGTTGTCATTCGATGATTCAAGATGTAGTTGTAGGGCCCTCTGGTTGGTGACTGACCTTGGTAGATTCAGATATCGCTAGCCTCTGGCTATGATACTAAGCTTATATGTAAAGACACGTAAGATTCATCAACCTAGGTGTTGTTATCAGGAATCATATATAGATGAAGGGGTTGAAATATAAATATAGACTTAGAAAAGGAATTTTTTTTTTTAACTTGAACCGAAGACCGCCAAAAAAGTGATTTGTGCCCACCGGGATTCGCACCCGGGTCTTTCCCTTCCCCTTCATTAAGATGGGAGAGGAACGAGCTATACTGCTGCTCCACGGATACGTTGGTGTGGCTGGGGTGATTGGGTAGCCTCTGATGTCTTAGTGAACAATTATTACCACTTATAAGAGCCTTTCTGCCGACCTCTAACCGGATAGCTGGAAGGAAAGAGGATAGGAACGCGTGAAAGTGGCGTTATGGATGCGTCTTAGTCATGCACTTGTCCTCCGGTCTAAGGTGCCTGCCTAAATTGAATGGACAGTGCCGTAATTGCAAGAGCAGTCCCTTAAGTGAGTCCCTTTGAGATACAAAAAAGCTATTTTATGTAATCTACCTACTTATTCTAGCTGTATGTGTTTCTACTATCAAGCCAATACAGACCCTCTGCCGCACATCTGGAATACAATATACATATTTTAGGGGTAGAAGCCCTCAGTTCATAGCTATATCAGAGTGAAAGATTAGTTACAACATACTTATTGAACCCCTTTCCTGCGCGTTATATTCTCTTTTTTATGTTTTACAAATAGACATAGAATAATAGTGACTCGTAAGGGGTAATATAGAAACTCCCACTGCGCTTGCTACGATACCCCCCTAACCCTATATATGTATCTACGTCTCCGATGTCAAAGATACGATGCTCAATATATACTACTCAATTTTAGATGGGCTTGGCTAAATTTACTAGGTCAACAATTCACATTCATACGCGTTTCCCGGCTACCTCGCTCTTTCTTCGGAGTGGGGCGGCCTGATGATGTTTCCGGTCGGCGTAACTTCGCGCCTCTGATTTCAGCGCCGTGAGACCCGTTACATTGTGTTGAGCTTCTTAAATTGGATAAAGCCAGCTTTGACACTATAATGAAGGGCAGACTTTCTTATGTATGGCCTGATAAGATGGGTTCTATTCAAGTGGGATGTCTATTCGCATATCAGCAATCGCAACAATTACATACGCCCGTAAGCATTCATGGTACGCCTTTCACTCTTCTAAACCTTTATATAACTATATATATATATATATTATGGGCCGACTTAAAAGTATCTCTACAGAGATAGAGATCCAAGCGCCACCTGCTACAGTTCGATCGGTAGTATGTATGACTCCCTGAGCATCTCGTGGGCCTCGCTAAGCGCTTGTACCTACTTAGTTTTTGGACTTCTCACGATGGAATCAATGGCATAAAGGCTGGGCAGTTGAACCTGTCGACCAGAGCAAGAACTCATTCCAATTAACGGCAGGAGACCGTCTCCGAGTCAATATGCATGGAATGGTGTTTCATCCGACTGTGAAGGTAAGCATTCTAATATTATTCTGCATTCGGAGGTTGGATATTTTCTGATTTATCTAGGAAAATTCAGCAGATGCCTTCCAATGGGAAGGGGTGCTGACTGGACTCTTAGTTGGAAGACATCGGTTTAACTTCACACCTAGTGAAAAGAACCAAGGCGGTACTACGTTGGTCCAAGTTGAGGATTTTCAGGGTATTTTGTCTTTTTTCTTCACGCAAGGGTCAAGCTCGACAGTGAAAACCGTCCGTAATTGGGATGCGTTCAATGTGGATTTGAAGAGGGAGGTTGAAAAATCCGCCCCTGGCGTGTAATATTGTTATATTATTCTTGACTTTATATAAGTGCTCAGTACAACTCATTAACGAAACCATGCATAGGAATTGATTAATAGTCGTCATCGTTTTATAAAAAATATATACTTTGCTTAGGTATAAGCCGTTGTAGAAGTATTAGTTTCCGTATAGTTACTCATATTCCGTGGCATATATTTAACATATTGCCTTGTTTAACTAGGTACGTTAACCCTAACCCTAACCCTGAGATAAAGGATAAGATATTGTACACGCTAGACACTTAGGTGGTAACATTAGATTAAGCAAGTGGCTAATTTGGTCGCCATATTAATGACTCAATATATGAACTGTGAAACGTCAACATATCCCATGAAGCCGGACTGCGCTCTAGTGAATGGCTGGGCAGAAGATGTCAAGGCGTAGCATATGGAATATTGTACATATGGATAAATTTGTTATTTGCGTTTACTTATTCTTGACCTGGCAGCTCTGATGATATGTATTACAGTACTCCAGGGGATGATTGAGTTGTTGGCTACATACTAATATTATGTTGACGTTCACGGTTAGGGAGTTAGGGGTAATATGGCAGGTACACAGTATTACCTATTATACTTCACCCTCCTTTAATCTGATTGGCTATTGTAGCCGACTGTTTTCCATAAAGAGTAGGTATTGAGCCATACTTAGCCTTTGATTGGTTAATTTCTCTGAACCCTATTCGTCCTTGCAGGGGTATACCCTGGCAATAGTTAAAATGATCTAATAACATTCAACTTGGCATACAATTAAGATTTTGAAAGGACAAATTCCTACGTGGTTTTGCTTGATTATTTCTCTTATGCCTTGGCTATATTATAATTATTTGAAGTATTACTACATATATTTCTTGAGTTAGGATTTGAGTTGAAGAAAGAGATGGGGATATTGAGTCACTAAGGCCGCATATTTTGTCGCATATAATGGGGATAGGGGTAGTCCATGTCATAGCGTCAACACCTAAATTTGTTAAATGCTTGTGCGCAACAGCAGCTTTTACAGAGTCATAGAAAATATTCATGTAAACCCTTTCGGATTATCGGCACTACATGTAAAATTAGAATTTGCGGGGTCCCCGATCTTGCATCTGCGGCTCACCAGCTTAATTCCCTACCTCCTTACCTGGGTAGGCTAGGCAAATGGGAAGGTACTTTGGGAAAAATTCCTAGACAGCGGACGAGTGTACTAGTGTACATTGTTCAACATGATCGAAACCGCCGAATATTCCTACCCGCATAAGAAGCGACATCCCCCAATACTCTAAACATGCAAGTACATACCTGCATCAGCTTATCCCATCAGAACCGAAAATCTGGTCACTTTAGTGCCATCCACTTTTCCTTCATATTAACCTATCATAGCGAAACTTAGCACATCCCACCAGCTTAATATGGGTCTTAGTGAGCCTTATCTAATCAATGAGGTTACATAATCAATGCAAATATATGTGGGAACTGAAGTTTAAGTACTGACGCGATAATAACACACGAAAAAACACGGTAAAGCGATTTCCCTGGTACATTTCACAGGGGTAGCGATCCTTTATCGATTAGAAAAGTAAACGGCGCTAAAGTGACCAGATTTTCGGTTCTGATGGGATACAACTTTACCTTCACGGGTATGTACTGTAGGTAAGCACGTGGCCCATAGAGATCATTCTCGCAATCCTTGTCGGAGATCTTACCAGAGAATTGGGTTTCAAGGTTGTATCACACTATCCCTAGCTTGCGTTGATGAACAGCTGGGGACAACAACTGAATCCGTCCGACGATCTAAATTAAATCATCCGCACAGGCGGGGCAGCATAATGAACCCGGACTTGGCCTTCTCAAACGACGATACTTTTGTTTACCTGAAGAAGAACGATGTGAACCATCATCATCCCATTCTCAACCCATTTGGCGTTGTCTCTCTTTTACACCATTGATCGGGCATATTGCCCATAATGGCCAAAGATTCGGGGACGCTGTCCCTGGTCGAGCGCTATCGTCCTTCGTTATTTGTCTTGGCCTCGCAAGTGGCCGCCGCTACTCTGAATGCCGCCGCGAAGTACGCCGAGACTCGGCTCGAGCAAGTTCATCCCTTCCAGGTCCTCCATGTCCGGATGTTGATCACCGCCCTCGGATGTACCTGGTATCTTTGGCGTATCGGCGGAACCTCTAAGTCCGATATGTTGTTCGGAACGCCTGACGTCCGGGGTCTTATTCTGCTGCGAGCGCTCGGCGGAACTTGTGGTGCTTCGGGGTTTTTCTGTAAGTCTCCCTATCTACTGATATCATGAGATGTTAGGATGTTACCATCACGCCGAATTTGGGTATCCGACGGGGTCACTCGTTGTACTAACTATCGATATTTGTGTTAGTTTCTATGGTATACTTGAGTCTTAGTGAAGCAACTGCTTTGAATTTCCTAGGTCCTCTCGGATCGCTGATCCTAACGAGATATCTGTCTTTCGCCACAGTCCAATGGACTGACTGCCTCGGCGCTGTTGGGGCACTCGGAGGAGTTGTACTCATAGCCCAGCCTGAAGAGATCTTCGGCGCAATAAACGCTGCCGAACGTGATGTCTCTGGTGATGCGACAAACAATATGAAGGGTTTAGCCTTTGCTGTGCTCGGGCTCTGTGGAGGTGTAGTAAGTGGTGAAGATCTGTGAATTTCAGTCGTGACAGAACTAATGTCGTTTTAGATTACCCTCACGTCGATACGCTGCATTGGAACGAGGGCTCATCCATTGACCAGTGTTAACGTATTCGCATGGAGCCTGGCAATTGTGAGCTGGATCGGTCTTATGATAGTTCCAGGGATTACGTGGCCAAAGAACCCGCTAGTATGGGCTTGCTTGATATATATTGGTACCTGTGGCCTCGCAATGGTGAGTAGATTGCAATTTCCATGATTCTTGAAGGATCTAACAATAAATTTAGGAGTTTCTCCTCACGGTTGGAATATCGAGTGACACATCTTCGGCTGCTACGCTCATGATCTACTCTCAGATAGTCTGGGCTCTCATTCTGGACCGCGTCTTATTCCAAACCACCATCAATCTCTGGGCAATCTTAGGTGCCGTAACTGTTATCGGCAGCCTAACTCTTGTTACCCTAAGTGGTAACGGCCAGAAGTTGGATAGTACCGCTTACACGGACATAAGGTGTGAAGACCCAGAGGCAGGCAGATTGAGTTTAGATGAAGTCCACGCCGAACAAACCAATCCATAGAAAATCAACACATTTTTTCAACCTCGATGGCCAACTTTGAGAATACAATTCCGAACACGATATTTCAAATAATTCGGAGTGATCGGATGGCTTGGGGGGAATTGTTTTGCTAACAATATTCGCTCTTTACGAGTCACTCGCTGAAACTTTTCTTGGGTAGTATATATAGGCCTTAAATGAACAATTATACTGATTCTAGTTGTCGCTTGCAAAAGAAA